CCATTTTGTGCCTTCTCTGTTAGAACACCGATCCATAAGCATTCAAGATGATTTTCTTCTGAGTTATCAGAGACAGGTAATGACACTTTTTTACAGAGTGCCCACCTGATCCTTCCTAGACAGGATGTAATTATTTTTTAAAACATTCCAATCATCGGAATCATCTAACCAAGTTTCAGTAACACCAACTATATCAAATTTATGCCCATAAATGAGGAATTCCAATTTCTCTTGTTTGTTTCCAAGACTCTAAGCATCGGTATACATGCAATTAAAGAATTTCTTCTTTGTGTCATTTGATTTTTTTATTAATTTGGTTCTCAGCATCTTGATTTTTTGATAAATAAAAGCTCCTCTCTCCTTTTACCTATCCCTAAGGGGAATGCTTCTCCTTCTACTGTGGTGGAGATCATCAAGATTGTTCTCCAAATGGCAGGTGAACCAATGTTCCACAAAACAATAAACCTCCATCACTTACCTAGTCAGCAATTCACTTCAAGAATCTTCTTGCCTTCTATCTTCCTTTATTCATGGGGCAGAAAGGATCTCCAAGAAGACTGTTTGGACATACTACTTCTTCACTACACTTCCATGTTCCCTGAAGTAATCTAGTATCCGCAAGATATCCCATGATGCAATGTCATTTGGAGACTACAAATATCTTAATTTTCATCCTTTGGCAACCTGCCAGTTGCATTCTTTGCAGAGGCATCAAACAGCATGCTTGTTTTCATAATAATACAATATTCATAAAATATGTATTCATACTCCTAGCATTCCCAGTATGGCTTCTACAGTAATTGATTCCTAACTATCAGTTCCTCTCCAACAGGAGATTGTTTTAGTGTCTTAGGTAGCACTTAACTCACTACAGAAACATATTGGAACATCAACTTGTATTGTATGATTTTCACGAAAGGAGATCTCATTCCTTCCCAAGGTTCCTGAAAGTATACCAAAATACCTTTCATACGTATTGCTGTATGCAATGCATTTTAATTGACCAAATGGACCTGAGTAATTGTACTTGACAATGTAAGTAAAATGTTTCTAGTCTGGTGGCTGGTAGAGAATAGTGAATATAGGTCAGCCACTAAACTTCACTGTAATGGAGTTTTTAATATTAGGTTGCTACTTTGAAAAGAGACAGTCGATCTTTCTTGTTTTTTATTATAAAATCTCATGAATTAAAGAAAAAAGACAGCTTACCTATGAATTTTGCTATTTCCTGCACCACCACTACCCTCTTCTTATGCTCTCTCTCTCTCTCTCTCTTTCTCTCTCTCTCAACTTTTCATGTCTCCTCTTCTTCCTTTTTCAGTCCTCTTCAAAGGGATTTTTCTTTGTTGGCTATTACCTTTGGCTTGTCTTTACGTTACATGCACATGTATAGAACAAGAACAAACTACTAATTTTCTGTCACATTAAGCTGAGAGGAGAGTCTTGTGTTCTGTAAATCTTTACAAAATAAACACTTTTATTGAATCTAGTGAGAAATATTCCATGCTTTCTAAAACTGAAGTATTAATTGCAGAAGTGAAGTTCCTGCAACATCAAGGCTTTTAGTAGCATTTATTATGTTAGAAATATATCTCACAAATGGGTCAGAGGAAATGGCTGTTGATCATTCAGTTTGGAAAAGAAGATAGCTGGGAGCTTTGCTCCACTCAGTGCAGGTAGGCTAGTCTTAATGACACCTCTTGGCCTGTCCCTTCAGGAGCGCTATATGAACTTAGGTCTTGTCTTTTCTGACAAGCATAGGACCAGGAAATCACCATCACTGGTGCCAAGGAGGGAAGCTATAGTGTAGCTTAGAACACTTTCACCACTATGTCATCCAACTATATTCAGGGCAGGGTTTGGTGACATAGTGGGAAAAATGCCTGAACCCCATCTTCACTGCATGATCATGATTGTCCCTTCCGAACTTAAAGTCTACACGTCTATTTGCTACAGTTTCCCTTATTGTTACCAGAAGTGGAGCTATTTTGGGCACTTATTTTGCCAGTGTAGATGCAAGAAGAGCAGTTTATCCTCACAATGGAATGGGAGTGAAGGTGAGAGTGCTAATTTCATCAAGCTAAAAGCAAACCAGTTTGGTGGGGGATATAGTTTTTGCTGTTCTTTGAAGTGGAAATGCTTGTGGGATATGTTTTTTATGTAATAAAGACCAGTAAAATAATTGATCTTGCAAAAACTTCACTTCCTCAAACCTCAGCCATCAAGTAGCAAAGATGCTTTATAATTGTAACGGAACACCGCTGTCATGATCATGACAGCAGCCTGGGGACTAAGGGGTTAACTATGTCCCTCACCTAAGCCAGGTAGAGTCGGCCAATAGGAATGTAGGTAGGAATTTCAAACTGGGACAAAGGAATTTTTGGGTTTTCTCTCCTTTGTCCCTGGGCAGTTTCTCTCCAACTACTGAAGAAGACAGAATGTCTCCCTCCAAGAATAGACTCTTTACTATCTGTAAGTAGGATAAGGTTTTATGGTTTGGGAAATGGAATTACAGAGTCTTGGCCCATGGCGGGGTTTTCCCCATGAGTATATTAATTTGTGACTTTTCCATCTAGTCATTATGTTTGCAACAGGAATGTTGTGGTGATAATACAAGTTCTTTCTCTTTTCTTTTATTAACCTGGTATTGGTTAATTATTGTGTCCTGGTTTTTACTTTAGAGGTGAGATTTCCCAAGTGATCTCTCCCCTGATTTTCTTATCCTTACTTGGGTGGTGGCAGTGGATTTTATCCCCAAAATCTAGGTTGTTAATATTTTGAGAGGAAGTTTTATACCAAAGCCTGCTAGATAAGGTTTTGAGGTACTTTTGTGGGCCCCCTCTTCTTCATTTATCATGACAGAGTAGGGAAAAATCCTTGACAACCTCATTCCCTCCATTCATTCCCCTAAACTTTCCCCATTCCCTCAGCCTCCTCTACACACCCCAGATTGCTCCCCATTGCCCTCTCCCAGCCCCCCCCCCCCCCCAGAAAATTTTCCATTTCTTTGCTCAACAATTTCAGTACCAGTCCCATCATCTAACCAGGGATGGGTAACCTCTAGCATGTGGTTCTTCAGGGTTAGCGGCTGACAGACTTCCGGATGCTTGGTTTACTTGGACATTTGCAGGCACAGAACCCAGCAGCTCCCAGTGGCTACGGTTAGCTGTTCCTGGTTAATGGGTGCTTCAAGAAGGGTCACCACTTTCCATGGCTCCCACTGGCCTGAACAGTGAACTACGGCCACTGGGAGCTGCAGGGCTTCATGCCAGCAGATGCTCAGGTAAACAAAGCATCTGATGGGCTGCCAGAAGCTAACCCTGACAAACTGCATACGGTCCACAGGCCAGAGGCTCCTCACCCCCAATGTAGGCCTACCGTTTTGGTGTTATATTCAGTCGCCTTCTTTCCTGCTTCCACTATATGCAAGTATGGTCCAGTTCTTGACAATGTCATTAAAAATTATACTTGCTACTCCATCTCAAACACCATACTTTTGCCAAGAGCACTTACAGCTTGTGGTATTAGGTCTCATTTCCTATTCTGGGCATTAATAAAAGCCCATCTTCTTTACAAAGATAACAGGTCAGAAAAAATCCACAAAGTCGAAATGATACAAATTTACAATTCCCCATTTCTATTTTCCTTAATACCTAGTGCAGGGGTGAGAGGCCTTTTGTCATTTATGGAACACATTTTTGGACCTCTCTTTCCTCAAAAAACATACAGTCATATAAAAATACCTAATTTCTGTTTCCAGATGTGTGTAACTATGAAAAAAGAGGAGCAAAGAAAAGTGCCTCTAAAGCTCAATAATAAATCTGAATGCTCGAAAACTTTATGCAGGTTTTATATGGATTCTTTTCTAGCTTTTGTATGGAAGAAAAAGCCTGTTTACCTTGGCAATGCTGTATTACAATGTACTGAGCTACATATTGCTTCTGGAATTCAGAGCTCCTTCTTAAAGAGACACACTTGGAAAGTTTTGTGTCCTTTTAGATGTGTAAAATGACAAAGGAGAATAGTATTGTGCTATAATATATTTTCACACAGGTATTTCCCCTCATTTTACGTATGATATTTGGAGTGTGTCACATAAATGTTCTTCCTTCATTTTCCATTCCCTTTTACAACTCTATTTTCTTTCCTTTTCAAAAAGGAGGTAAGTAGATTATATCTAGCATTTTTGTCTCTGCCACCATTATATTCTCCATCTGGAATTTCAACAATATGCCAATTTTATAATTGTAATAAAATAATAAGAATAAATGCAAGTTGTTGACCATTGATCAGTCATTTTATGGATAAGAAGGACTTTCTTATGTCTTTTCTCCATTTTTTTCTGCCTCAATACTCTATTCTCTTGTGTAACCTCCATCTATATGCTGCAATTCACCCATCTACATCTGCTTTTTGGAACAACAAAGAATCATCAGGAAATTAAGAAATAGGACTTGCATGGGGTAAGGACATCCTCAAAATGTAGGTGACAGGTACTTGTGGAGCATCAGGAAGTTGAGGTGAAATGGGATTTGCAGAGAGGTGCCAGATAGCAGTGCAAATATTTGTGGTTAAAAAGTAGAGCGAGTCTAAATCATGAAGTTCAGTTCCAGCTGCAGATCTGAATTTGAACTTCTCCAAATTTCACAACATTCTGATTTGGTGTTGTAGTTTAATTTATTAGGAAAGAGAGAGGCCTGAGGAGATATGGATCCAGATCTGAACCTCTCACAGGATAGAGGGGTTTTCATTTACAATGTGATGTTTGGGCCCTTTCTCCAGCTAATAAAGAAACAGCTGCTGGGCAGAGTTCATTTTCTTTTTCTCAATAATTATGTGTGTGTTGAGTTGGTAAACACAGATCAATTAAGCCAAATTCTATATTGCACTTTTGGATAGGTCTTTTCTGACTGTGCAAAGTGGGTGTAAAACTCCAATAGATGAGAATGTACTTCTCATTTGTTCTGGTGCTAACATTTTGTGACCACTTTTTTCCACAGGGTTTAATGACAACTCAAGATGACATGCAGCGGAGAATCAGCCCAACAAGATTTTCACATGTACATTGTCATTCCATTTATATTTTGTGCCAGTTTTGTTTGAATATTTGAATAATAATTTACTTATAAGGAGAATATTCTGGAGAGACATAGCTGAGCAAGTGGACATGGAATGCTAAAGCGAGAGCAGATGCTTTTCCTTGGAGAGCAAGTTGAGAAAGGCACCCGATCATACTTACATTAAATCTTACCTCCTGAGACTGTGAGTGATGAGGCCCATATCCTTGATGAGGCAATCATCCATCCCTGTGTCATAAAATAAAGCAGCAAATATGTCCAATACCGCAAAAGAAAATCAGTGCAGCTCCACAGTCTTTTGCCGAATGCCTCAGTGACTTTCATTCAAAACAAATAGAATTCATTAATCTGCCCAGTGAACTTGCTGATGAACCTACAAAACAAATCTCATCTAGTCCTGGAATGGATAGCACCAGCTGGATGAAGTAAATGCATTTTCCATATAAAAAAAACAAGGCAACATGTGTTGCTAAAGAATATGTGGCATACAGCAGCAAAACACTTCCTTCTCAAAGTGTTATGGACTGTGAAATCTGGTTTTCCTCTGTGAAATCTGGTGTTTTGTGTACTTTTACCATATACTATACATATTTCACAAAGGAGATCAATATTTCTCAAATTGGGGGGGAGTTGATCCATGAAGGAGTGTAGGGGTGTCATTTTGAGGGTCATAGTATTGCTACCCATACTTCTGTGCTGCCTTCAGAGCTAAGCAGCTGGAGAGCGGAACTGTTGGCTAGATGCCTAATTCTTCAGGTGGCAGCATAGAAGTAAAGGTGGCAATAGCATATCATAGAATCCTAACCTTTGTGTTGCTGCTGGCAGCAATGCTGGCTTCAGAGCTGGGCTACCAGCCAGCAGCTGCCACTCTCCAGCTGCCCAGCTCTGAAGGCAGCATTGCTGCCAGCAGCAGCGCAGAAGTAAGAATAGCAGTACTGCAACCCCTCCCTGCAATAACCTAACAACCTCCAACCTAGCATAACTCCTTTGTGGGTCAGGACCCGCATAATTATAACACTGTGAAATTTCAGATTTAAATAGCTGAAATTTATGGATTTTATGGATTTTAAATTCTCTGACTGTGAGATTGATCAAAATGGTCAGTGAATTTGGTAGGGCCCTAGTAATGAAGAATGTAAGGGAGTGTTCTACTTTCAAACTTCTGGCATTGCATATTGTACAAAATTTGTATTTAAAAATTCTATTCAGTCAGTGCCACCAGCAAGTTACACACACACACAAACTACTAAAAACTACCATATAAACTTACCATTATAACACTTACCTTCTTTCCACTATTTATTTCTCTTTATGGCCCTCAATAGTAGCTGATTGCTAAGGCTTATTTACTCAGGCTTAGTCAACACTACAGACTTATGTCAGTGAAACTACATCACTCAGGGTAGGAAAATCCACACACTTGATCAGTGTGGTTATAGTGACCTACCTCCCCATGCAGACAATGCTGTATTTATGGAAGGATTCTCACATGAACATAGTTATTCCTCTCAGGCCTGGTCTACACTAGGACTTTACATTGACTTTAGCCACATATGGTTGATTTTCTAAGTGATGCGTCCACACCACCAAGCCTCTCACGTTAGCCTTAAGGGTCACTGAAGTCAATTTCAGTACTCCTGCTTTTCATGAGGAATAATGCTCATCCCGACCTTCCATGGCCAAATTTACACTAGTGTAGCACAGTGTTGTCCAAAAGTTGAGGCTATTAGCCTCCAGGAGGCTTCCCATAGCTCTCTGCTCTGAACGCTATGGCAAGAACTTGCAACTCTACTGCTCTCCCAGGGTATGTCTAGACTACACGCTTCTTTCAAAAGACAGCTTTTTGATCCGCTTTTTCTAAAGAGAACACACAGGCAAACTGGATGCTCTCTTTCGAAAAAGCCTTGTTTGCGTTCAAGAATGCTTTTTTTCGAAAGAGCTCTTTTGAAAAAAGGCATTCTTCCTCGTAAAATGAGGTTTACCGTTGTCAAAAAAAACTGCTGCATTCTTTCAATTTAATTTCAAAAGAACGCAGTGGCAGTCTAGATGTGAGTGAATTTTTTTTGAAAAAAGGCCACTTTTTTTTTTAAAAAACCCCTGTAGTCTAGACAAAGCCCCAGTGAGCTCAAAAAGCCAGGGGGAAAGTTGAATGGACTTTCCCATGTGGCCAGTGTTGCGAGCACATTCTGAGTGTGCAGCACACTGTGGCACGTGGAATAACTTCAAATAATCTAACCAACAGTGCAACAACTTTCAAGGCTTCTGCTCCCATAGACTCCATTTCTTAGGGGTGCAGAAAAGAACCACTATGGAATGTCTAGGAATCTTGGACCTCATCAAGATATGAGGAGATGAAGCCATCCTCACCAAGCTCCAAACCAGCAAGAGGAAAACTGACATTTATGGCAGGATCACAAACTGCGTGGGGCTAAAGGCTATTCTGCCCAGAAATGCAGAGTGAAAATCAAGGAGCTGTACCAGTCCTACCATAAGATGAAGGAGAAGAGCGGACAGTCTGGTTCAGCATCTCACATGTGATGCCTCTACAATGAGCTGGATACAATTTGGGTGTGTGTGGCTTCCCCAGAATGGTTCTGGAGTGCAGCCAAGACATGTCTGGTGTCAGCCTGGAGAACAGCATAGTAGTGGGGGGAAGGAGGAGGAGGAGGAGTATGGCCACTCAGCAATCCCCAAAAGCCAGGAGCTGTTCATGATACTGGATCCAGTTCCCTCCTCCCAGGATGTCTCCTAGTCCAGCACTGACTCTGGAGAGGGCACTTCCAGTGAATTCACAAACTTTTTCTAACTGCAAATGGATTAAGGCAATGTGATGTGAAGGTTACATGGCATGGAGGGCACAGAACAACTTGTTAATGTATTTGCAGATGGAGTGAGAGTCTTTCCTGCACAGCTCCATGAAGCTCTCACATAGGAACTCTTTAATCCTTCTCACGAGGTTTTTTGGGAAGGCTAGCCATCCTCTCAGAAGGCCACCTTCTCTCACTAAGCCACCAGTAGGTGGTCTGGCATTATTGAACCACAAAACAGTGTAGCATAATGCCAGGTTTATGGCCACATTCAGACAGCATCCATTCCTGATCACTCTGTGACAATCTGCAGGAGATTGGAGGGGAACGTATTAGCACTTTCCCCAGGAGGCCACATATGCCATACACATATCCATCCCCATTCCCCATGAGCAGGAAAAGAAACAGTGTCCCTGGGATCCCATGTGTGCTGGACCCAGCGTGTGCCAGACACAGTGGAAAACTACCCTCTCCTGTCCCCCTCCCCGCCTCTTGCCTGCAGGCCAGGCTGGCTCCTTACCATGACTGCCTACCTCTGGACTGAGTGTATCCCTGTGCTCCCCTGAGAACTCTGTGAACCTGTTGTAAAATACACATTTTAAAGCAAACATTTGGCCTTGCATGGAACATATCTCCTTTGTCTTTTCAGAGACCATTGGTGTAGGCAAACATATTAGGGTTAGTCTTAACACAATGTATCTGCTGTAAAGTCTGCCCTTGTAGCTTTTCTTTGCAGCTGGACCAGAAGCAAACTCGGTGCATTTCCCCTCCCCACCCAAGCACCTCCCTGCCTGGCTCAGATCTGCAGGTGAAAATGCACGAGAGAACAGAAGTTCCATGAACAGATGGACTGCATGAACTCACTCATGGCGGAGATGCAGGTAGAGTTCCTGGACCAGATCACAGAGTGGCAGGAGAGAAAAGCTGCCAGGAGCAGCAGGCGAGACAGCAGGAGACCATGTTTGCCTCCCTGTCCATAATGGAAAATGTGATGTCCTGTCTGGAGAGGGCCTCCTCTCAGAACACCATCCGCTTTGATGTCATTCCTGTTTCCCCCCCCCAGCCCTATCGCTT